TCAATGGCAATGCCTACCAGTCTGTTTTCCAACCCAATCCTCCCCTCCCTACTCCGGCCTTGCCCATCACAGCCCCCGCCGGCCTGCTCATCGCCAGCCGCCCCTGCTGCCGATCACCGTGCCAGACGACGAAGCCACCGGGCTGGCCAAGACAAGGAAGAACAAGAGGGGCAAGGGCAAACTTTAGGCAATGCAGTGGCGGGCTAGAGTGTAGTGGTCTGCCACCTCTTCCAATCCCAAGCCATCGTCTCCATCGACGTCCATCAATCCAATCCCGTCCGCCCTCGTCGCCCTCGCCGCCCAAGCCCCTCCACCCTCATCAACCACACCTCACACACACCCATAAGCCTCATTCAACTCGCCCACATCAATACTCAAGCCCAATCGCCATATCCACCACCGCTTCGCCCGTCCCGCCACCCACGTCACGACCCCCTCATCCCCCTACCATACTCATTACGCCCCATCACCACCAACCACCACCCTCACCGCCTACTCCACCACCACCACTCTCATTTCAACCACAACTACCACCCCCATGCCATGACCATGCCCACCACCATCCCATCGCGCACTCGGCTTCCTCTTCCTCCTCGTCCTCCTTGTCTCCCCGCTCCATCTCACCCCCATCCCCATCCCCGACTCCGACACCGGCATCCGTCAACCATCACATGCCTTACTGCCCATCCACCAACCAACAGCAATCTGAAGCCATCCAGCCCCGACCCAGCTCCCTCAGCAGCCCTCGCCTCGCCGGCCACCAGCCACCAGCCGGCGCCCGCTCGCCCGATCAGCCCACCTTCATCACCACCTAGCTCCTTCCCACTACCAGCTACGCAACCCACAACCACACCCAAGGTCATCACTCACCCCACACTATCACCAGTATTAATATCGCCGTCATCGATACCCATCGACCTCGGCTCACTTTCGCGTCGACTTGTTTGCCCTAGGGCAAACGGTATCCAATGCAGTGGTGGACTACAGTGCAGTGGTCTGCCTCCCTGTCCAATCCCAAGCCATCGTCTCCATCGACGTCCATCTCAATCCAATCCGTCCGCCCTCCTCCCCCTCGCCGCCCAAGCCCCTCCACGCTCATCACCCACACCCCACACCCACCCATCATCCTCATCCAACTCGCCCACATCAATCCTTCACCCCAATCGCCATACCTACTACCATTTCGCCCGTCACGACCCCACGTCACGAACCCCCTCATCCCCCCCTACCATACTCATTACCACCCGTCACCACAAACGACCACCCTCACCCCCTACCCCACCACCATCACTATCATGGCAGCCACAACTACTACCCCCTTGCCTTGGCCATCCTCACCACCATCCCATCGCGCACTCTGCTTCCTCTTCCTCCTCATCCTCCTCCTCTCCCGCTCCATCTCACCCGCATCGTCATCCCCGACTCCGACACCGGCATGCGTCAACCATCACAAGTCATACTGCCCAATCTCCCACCAACAGCAATCTCAAGCCACCCCACTCCAACCCAGCTCCCTCTGTTGTCCTTGCCTCGACGGCCACCAGCCGCCAGCCGCCGCCCGCTCGCCCGATCGGCCCACCTTCATCACCACCTAGCTCCCACCCACTACCAGCTACGCAACCCACAATCTCACCCAATGTCATCACACACCCCACACTATCACCAGTATCAATATCGCTGTCATCGACACCCATCTTCCTCGGCTCATTTCCGCGTCGACTTGTTTGCCCTAGGTGGTTGAGCACGTCCTCGACCGCCCGACCCCGCACATGCCCCCCACCAACCTCATTGCCAGCTATACCCAATCTGATTTCACTACTACTCTATTACATACCCCCCTACCCCCATGCACAGTTTCCAATCCACAGCTGCAGTATTCCGGAATCCGAGTTCTGCCGGCTCAGGCCCAGCTTGTTGTCCTGGTGTCCCTTCGATGCTGCTGACCACCCCTCCCCGGGCCCATCTCCGACCCCCACTCCCCACCATCACCACCCACAACCACCACACCCACGCCACACGTACTCACTATGCCTGCAAACATAGCCACTCACTCCCTGCCCGCCGATACGCACATCAGCCGACGCCAACCCGTCAACAGCATCACTGCCGACCGCCGGCTGCTCGCCGCCGACCGCCGCCCGCCGCTGACCGACCACCGCCGGCACCACCGAGGGCAAGCTAGCCATCGACAGGGCATTGGAGACGATGCATGCTGATAGCCACATCATTGGCAATGACTACCAGTCTGCCCTCCAACCCATTTCTCCCCTCCCTCCTCCGGCCTTGCCCATCACAGTCCCTGCCGGCCTGCTCATCGCCAGCCGCCGCTGCCGCCGACCACCGAGCCAGACGACGAGACCACCGGGCTGGCCAAGACAAGGAAGAACAAGAGGGGGCACACTCTCGGTTGCCGGCCGAGCGGACGCGCCGTTGGCTCGGGGGCTTGAGATTTCCCTGCATTTTATGTGCTGACCATCTTTGCCAGCACATCGTGCCAATTGGCACAAAGATCTGTGTCGACGCCATCGGAGCCCTTAGCGAGGTAAGATGTCAGCTGCTTCGCTTCGCTCAGTCGGCCGCGAGTGTTAGCAGTCGCGGTGACAACGGTCTTCCACCGGATCTTGTCGTTGCATTCGGCCACACTTTGGACGACTAGCACAAACTTGGACACGCACGACCCGACGCCCCAGTCGTACTTGATCGTGTGATGAGACGACCCTATGTGATTGGTGGCCGTACCCACAAGGTTGGGCTTCAGCCAAGCCGTCGACCACGGCTTTCGCTTGGGCAAAATGCCAGGATCTTCTCTGTCCCAATTCCGACTTGCACCGTGAACGCAAGCTTGTCGATGAACATATCGAACAGACCGTCGTCTCGTCACCAACGATGCGCTCTGAGTGTGATGATGAACAAGAAAGTCCCGGCCAAGCTGCCCCCCCATCTTCGTGGGCTTGAACGACGTTGCCGAGCAGCTGTGCTTAGCCCCAGCCGGACGACTCATACCGCACACCCGAGTCACGCCGATGCGGCGTATAATGCCGAGTCGCCTCCCGCCGCAAGCCGTGCTCACCGCCAGCCTTCCTGGCATCGTACTGAAATCCGGATGCATGGCCGCTGCTGTTTGGTGGCGGCATGGGCCGGACGCTTGCTGATGATCGCCGTCCGCGGAGCCGCTTGGCGCAGCAGCAGAGGAGCGAGAGCACGAGAGTAAGTCCAATCGAGACCACAATCCACGACGGGATGCCAACGACACTGTCCGGCACTCCCATCGACGAGAACGGGCCCGTGTTCTCCTCCTTGGTATCGCCCACGGTGCCGTTTCCTGGCGACGGCGATGGCGGTGAGGACGGCGGCCTGCTCGCAGGTGGTGGCGGTGAGGCGAAGAGACTACATGCACCGCCCAAACATGCCCCATTGCCGCCATTGCACGACGTGCCGTCGGCTGCGTTTGTCTCGACACAGATGCTTACGCTGCAGACAAAGACGGCGCAGTCGCTGCTCGGCACCAGTCCGCTACAGTCGGCCGCGATTGAGCAGACGGTAAAGTTGCCGCACACTCCGGTCGCGCACACCCCGCTGCTGCAAGGTGTTGTGTTGGGCAAGTTACACGTCGCAAGCGTGTTGTTGCACGTCGACGAACACTCGCCGCCGCCAAGGCAGGGATTGCCTGACGAGGTGCACACGCCTGAGCTGCACTGCTCGGCGCCAGTGCAGAAGAGCCCGTCGTCGGCGCAAGGGGCCGCGTCGGCCATCGCAACGCACCTTGCCGAGCAGCACACGCCAGAGTTGGCAATCGCAGGGTCACACTCTTCCGGACCGTCGACCGCCCCGTTGCCGCAGAGTCCGCCCGCAAAGTCATAGTCAATCTCCAGCCGTGGATGCAGGCTCGCCGTTGCATGACCTCCGGGCGCGACTACAATGTTGGCAGTGCCCGAGAAGAGCACAACGCCCATGCTGCCTGTTGTCCACGTTGCCTGGTCCACCAGCTCCTGGAAAATTGCAGTGACATCCGTCGACGCCAGTTCGTGCGTTTCTAGCCAGTTGATCGGCGGCCGGGTTGACATATCCAATGTTGCCGTCGCTACTGTCTTGGGCCGGGTACTGAGCTCGCTTGGGCTCGCCGAAAACGCAGCCGGTGTCGCACCGAGCTCGCCGTTGATCACCACATTGCCGTTCGCCGAGGTGAAGACCAGGCCGCTGAGATAGACGCGTGCCGACACAATGTTGGCTCCCTTGGGAATGCCGAGGCTGCCGAAACTCAGGCCAGACATCAGCCGCTCGCCGCCACTTCCGATGGCGATTGTCCCCAGCTCCGATGGCGACGTGACCACCGTGCCGACTGGTGGCGACGGCGGCCCTGATGACGTAAGATACTCGACCGCGCAATTGCTGCCGCTGCCGACCACCTTTGTCACCCGGTTGCAGCCGGGCGTGTTGTTGGGCGAGCTGGCGAGCCGCGTGCACGTACCTTCGGAGCACACGCCGTCCGGCTCGCACGCAATACCCGTCGCGCACATCGCCGCCGTATGTTCGTACACACACGTGTGGTTGCGGCACGCCGTCGCCACCGTGCACACCGTGCCGCTGGTGGGGCAATCGCCCAGAGTGTTGCAACTTGTCGCATTGGTGTACAAGTTGATGATCGGCGCCGAGAAATCAAATGTTGCCGCGTTGTCTGCCCCACCAGAGCCTGTAGCAATCGACGCGTATGTAACTGCTGGCGATGAAAAGTGCGCCACCCGCTCCTCGTCATCCCCGTACGCCATGATCGTCCGGTACCCCTGTCCACCGCCAAACAAATACCCGTGCGAGTACGAGAACAGCCCGGCAGATGTAGTCGTCGCAAGGTCGTGGTTACCACCTAGATTGTGACCCACCTCGTGCGCCAAAGTCATCGCGACCCGCACGCACGAGAGCGTAGAGACAGAGAACATGAATGACGGCGTCTGCATCGCGTCAAGCACTGTAGTCAAATATCCGAGTCCGCATGCCGATGTGGTCGCTGTCGAGCCGACAATGAGCGCCGCCGCATCGGCGCCCATCGCATCGCGGAGCTTGTTGAGCCCGTCGCCGACACCATCACCAGGGTTATGCACTGCGTCGAGCACTTCCGACATCGGCGTCGTTGCCTCGTTCTCCACGCTCGGCACATGCAATGTGGCCACAAGGGCAAACTGAGACGTCAGTCCCGAGTTGGTCATCGCCTCGTTGAGCTCGTCGACGGCAGCCTCGATGTCCACTGCAATCGTCGCGTGCGAGTTGCCTGCCGCCGCCAGCGCACCGTCAGTGTAGCCCACGACAATGTCAAGTATGCCACCGCCACCGCCACCGCCAGACCGAGCGTGCACCTGCCGCCGCCACTGGTGCGTGCCAAACACCTGCGGTTCGGCTGCGTGCGGATGCAGCCGCTGGTGAACAAGCGGATACTCGGCGTGTGTGGCGTGGCTGAGAGTATGCGCCACGACGCTGCGTCTGTCACCCACCGACCGCCCACCTGCTGCAGGAGCCAGCAACGTCACGCCGGCCCGGCTCCGCACGACCGCCCGGACCCGCCCGTCGCCTGTCACCCGGATGTCGGCCTGCACACCGTCGCTGCTTGCTTTCAACAGCACCTTGGCCGCCATGCCCCCAGCCCGCCGCTGCGTCACCATCACTACGTGCCCACCGATCTCGAGCCGCGTCCCTGCCATTGCCGTGGCCAGTACCGACGACACAACCGCGTGGTCGTCGCTGTTGCCAGTCATCCGCCGAGCAATCGACAGTGAGCTAGGGCTAGTCTCGGCGCTCCGACCAGTACTTCCAGCCTCGCGTGCGCTTCCCATCAGCAAGATGTCATCCAATCCGTAGCTGCCATCAGCGTGGCCGCCAAGAATCACCCTGAACTCATCTCCGGTCGCCAGCTTTGCCTTTGGCGCATAGACGGTCCACCTCAACGGTGCAAAGGCTTCACCCTCCGCCGACTCGTCCATCGGAGACACCGCCACGCCATCAACGCACACGCCATCGATCACGCACAACGTCAAGCTCTCGGCATTGTACAGCAAGTGCCAGTTTTCTCTGCCCGCGGGCGTCATCGTTCCCACCCCTATCCGACACGCGAGTGAGTCAAGCGATACACACACATAAGCACACTTGCTGGTCATGGTGACCAATATGTGAATGCTTCTCAATGGCTATCCGCTGCTTCTCAGAGATGAGAACAACCATGGAAGACGACCGCGACATACGCCTGGCACCACCGCATCCTCCACCCACCGCCATGACTTGCCCATCACATTCCAACCAGCCCTACCCACACCCAAACGTACATGTTCCATATGTGCATGTCATGACCATGGTGAGTATCACCAACAACAGCGCACGTGGCCACATGGACGTCATAAACGTCCTTGGCCGCCGCGAGGAGTGTGGCCGTCGAAGTCTTGTCCGAAGAGCCAATGTTGCCGCGACTGCTACGAGTCGCTACCACTTGCGGCAGGCTGAGCGAAGCAAAGCGGTTGACAACTTACTTCGCTAAGAGCTCCAGTGGCATCGACATAGTGATGGAGAGGGAACCCGCCCGCCCGCCCTTTCTGATGACGATGCGCGACGACGACGACGGGCGCCATCCGGGCGCCCAATTCTTACCTTGATATCGTGTGTACGCGAGCTATCGATGGCCGCTCACGTACACGCGGCTGACCGTGCCAATTGCCATGATGTGCTGGCAAAGATGGTCAGCACAGTAAATGCGAGGAAGTCTCAAGCCCGCCGAGCCAGCGGAGCGTCTGCTTGCCCGGCAACCGAGAGTGTTTGGATGGCACTGCAAACGGTAATTGGCTTCAAGTGGTCCGTTCGCTCTGCTTGCTGACCCGCGGCCAACATATCCCCTCCTCGCATGCGACATCGAATTGGTTCCAAACGCCACCAATCATGCTACTACAACGGTATGTTGTACCTGATTCTCACTTTCGATCTCTCATTGCACCCTTTCCCCGCCCACCTGATTGACATCCAAGCCAGATCCCATCACTTCCTTTCCTTTCCACCTCTGCCATCAAGCCGTACAAGCACAACACCCACCCATATACATGCCCATATACATACACCTACCCGTGTGTACATGAGCTCATCAGCTGAGAATGTCCGCCCCATCCAAAACCGGTCCTCTTGGCCCAAAAAGCCCCCCCACCCCCCTTCCGCCGCTCCGATCGCGCCTTCCAACCTGTGTGACCTCGCCCCGCCCCCCCCCCCTCACCTCCCCCACCACCCAAATACGTACACCTCTCGCTATTCCGTACCAAGGAGTTCGACACGGTACCCTGTGAGGAGCAACACCAGCCCTCCACAAACACACACATACCCCTCCTTCCTTACCCTTTCACGTCCCTCTTCCCGGCCTTACCTTGCCTGTGTGCCGTGTGCCTTCCACCCCTCCCTCCCCCCTCCCGGAAGGAAGCGTGTTCACCACCATGGCTGCATCTTCGGCTACGGCCATCGGCTCGGGCAACTCTCCGCTTGGTGTGTTCTTCAACCAGGACAAGACAGCATTCTCGGTGGCTCTACCTACCGGGTATCGCATCTACAACACGGAACCTCTTTATGAGATTGGACGCCACAGTATGTACTCTCCCCGCTCATGCCCCCCTTGCCCCCTTCCTCATCCTCATCCTCATCATCATCATCGTCATCACTCACACCTCCTCGCCACGGACAGCCTTTGAGCAGCGCGGCGGACTGTCGATGGTCATGATGCTGTTCCGGACATCAACAATGGCGCTGGTGGGCGGTGGTGATGAGCCGCAGTTTGCTCCGGTCAAGGTGGTGATCTGGGATGAGATGGATCCGCGGCTGAGCCTGATCGAGCTCGGCTTCAAGTCCTTGGTCACCGGAGTCCGCCTCTCGCGCGCCTTTGTAGTTGTTGCGCTCAAAAAGTACACCGAGGTGTACTCGCTGACTCCGGCGCCGCAAGTCTTGTTCAAGTTCCAAACTGCCGATAACGACGATGGCGTGACTGCGCTCTCGCCGTCGTCAGCCTCATCGCTCCTCGCCGTCCCGGACAAGACCCCGGGCTGGGTCCGCATTGTCGACCTCAGCGCCGACTCGTCGTCGGCAAACCTGTTCAAGGCCCACGAGCACCCGATTGCGATCATGGAGTTTAACGCTGATGCCACCATCCTCGCCACGGCTTCGACAGAGGGCACCATGATCCGGACCTGGGACACCCGCACCGGCCGCAAGCTCCGCGAGGTTCGCCGCGGTAAGACCAAGGAGCGCATCTGCTCCATTGCTTTTAACTACAACTCGGACTTTATGGCCGTCTCCTCGCTCAAGGGCACCATCCACATCTTCTCCATGTTCTCCGATGCCTCTGGCGCTGCTGCCGGGTCCTCGGGCGCCGCGGCGTCATCAGGCTCGGGCGCCGCCCCTCCGCCGACCTCGTCGTCCTTGCCGCCGGCTGACGGCAGCCCGGGCTCCAACTCGCGCTCGTTCTTTTCACCTATCACCAGCTTCTTGCCCAAGACCCTCGTTCCGGCCTACTTCTCCTACGAGTGGTCATTTGCCCAGTACCGCATGGGCTCGCCCGGGCCTACCCGCCTCGCCTTTGGCCGCGAGGCCAACATCCTCTACGTCATCGGCCTTGACGGCTCCTTCTCCAAGCTTCGCTTCGACCCGGACGCCTCGCACGCCGAAGTCGAGCGCGATAGCTACTACAACTACCTCGAGCTCGAGCCTGCCACGCTTTAGTCAAAGATCGACTTGTACGCGCGCTTCTTCGGCTTGACCGAAGACGCCGGTGCCGCCGCCGCCGCCGCCGCCGGTGCAGACGTAGCTGTGCTAGCTGTATCTGGCTCAGCCACGGGCGCAGCGTCGACAGCTCCCACTGCTGGCGCGGGTGTCGATGTGGATGCAGGCGGCCGTGCCGCCGACAGCGCTGCGGGCCGTGGCGGTGGTGGGACATCATCCATCATCTCAGCCACGTCCGACACATCGTCGCTGACGCTGCCATCGACAGCTTCAGCCTCTGGCCTACGCGCCTCAGGGCTCGACACGGCATCGGGAGTGTTGTCAGACACGGGCACGGGCGGCGGTGGCGCAACCTCGTCCGAGTACATCTCCTCGTGATCGTCGTAAGAGTAGCCGTACGAATACCGGTCGCGCCCGCGGCTCCAGCTGCGGCTCCGGCTGCGCCCCCTGTGCGGGCTCCGGCTCCGGCTAACGCTCCGGCTAAGGCTGCGGCTGAGTGACCGACCCGGACTTGGGCCCCGTCGCGGCGGTGACGCTGGAGAATGCGCCGCGGGGCTCGGGCTGCGGGCTCTGTGTGGGCTCTGAGCCGCAGCTGGTGCCTCGGCCTCCGGAGCCGCCGGCTCTGGTGCCGCCAGTTCTGTCGCCATTGGCTCTGCCACAACTGCCTCCTCTTCGGGGGCTTCGGCTCGTGCCGACCGCAGCTCCTCAACGCTCTGTGACGACCACGACCGTGCCCGCTGCGGTGATGTTGATCGTGACGCCGACGCAGTCTGCGACCCTAGCTCAGGTCCACGTCTTGTGACCGCCTGCTCGCGGAATGAAGAATATCCCGAGTCAGATCCGTCCGGCCCTTCCCGCCACGTCGAGCCCGAGTCGGAACGCGATGCCCGCGCTGCCACTTCAGATAACACCGATGCAGATGCTGCCGCTGACGCTGACGCTGATGCAGAAAGCGGTGACTCTGGAGATGCCAGCGAGTACGAGCTGGAGCACGAGCTCGTGGTCGTCTTGGCCTTGCCATTGCCCTTGCCCTTGGTCTTGGCCTTGCCCTTGCCCTTACCCTTAACCCTAACCTTGGCCTTGGCCTTGCTCTTGCTCTTGTGCTTGTCCTTGCCCTTGTCCTTGCCTTTGTTCTTCGACTTGAGCATCTTTGCGGCCTTGGCCTCGGCACGCCGCGCTCGCTCGCGCTCTCGACGCTCGCGCTCCTTGGCCTTGGCCTTCTTGCGTCGCGCGGCCTTGCGCTTGCGCTTCCTCGCGTCGCGCTTCTTGGCTGCGTACAGCGCCTTCTTCAGCGCGGCCTTTGTGAGCTCCTTGGCCTTGCGCCGCTTGCGACGCCTCGACCGCCGCACTGCGGTCGAGTCCGAGCCAGAGCCCGACGAGTACGAAAGCGACGACGGCGTCGACGGCGTCGACACCGACGACACGCTTGCGCTGCTGGAGCCGGTCTCCGAGAGGCTCCGGCCGCCGGCCCATCGGCCACGGCCGCCGTCATACGAGCCGCCCGAATCGAGCCGGAAGCGCGAGACAGACGAGCCGCCCGAACACGAGCCGTCGTCTCCGGCGAGTCCGTCGCTTGCCAATGTCGCGAGCCCGGCAACCGGTGCTGCATCGGCCTCGCTTGCCACAGCCACAGCAGAGGCTGCTTCGGCGAGAGGCGCGGCCTGCGGCTCTGACTTGGGCATCTTAGCCTTACCATCGGTGTCGTCGGTCGGCTTCCTGGCCTGCTGCTGCTGCTTCTGGTTGTGAGCGAGCTGGGCCTCCTCCAGCATCTCCAGCACGTGCGAATCTGCACCTGCCAGTTTGGCCTCGTGCAGCGGCGTTCGCATGCCGGTATCCGACTCCATGAGCGCAAACGGCGAGGCGCCCGACGCAAGCAGCATCCTGACCATGTCGGCTGAGCCGACCCGTGCTGCCAGATGCAGCGGCGTTGGGCCCGAGCCACCGCCACGGGCGATGGTAGCGTCGACGCCGGCAGTCAGCAGCAACTCGAGCGCCAGCGGCTGGTCGGCCTCGACAGCGGCGTGGATCGGGAGCATCTGCGACGAGTCTTCGATCTCGAGCTGCCATCCGTCCTTGATGTACAGGTGCAGGACGTAGTCAAAGCCGGCGGCGCAAGCGGCGTGGACAGGGCTCCGTGCGGCTAATGGGTACTCGCCCTCAAAGTACTCAAGCAGTAGCGCGGTCATCTCGCCGTCGTTCCGGGCAGCAGCGGCACGCAGGTGCTTTGCCTCGACGACACAGCCCATGTCGAGGGCAGCGATGGCAAGCGTCGTCGACTGGGCGCGGACTGCCCAGCCGAGCACGGCACCGCGGTCAGCCTCGCACAGGCCGCCAGCCGTGCCCGAGGCCGCTGAGAGGAGGAGTGCGCAGAGCGACTCGAGGCCTGCGTTGGCCAGCAGCGCCTCGTGAGTCACGCTGCCGTCAGCAACTGCGCCAGCGTGGTCAACAAGCCGCCGCATAAAGTACGCGAGCGGCGACCTGCCCTTGGCGTCCTGTCGGTTGACGTCGACGTCGGTCTCGCTGAGCAAGAGGCGGGCGCAGGCGAGCGCATCGGCCGATTCGCACAGCGCCGCCGATGCCAGCGGCGTCCGCCCCTGTAGGTCCAGAAATGATTCCAGCTGCAGCCGCTCGTTGGTGTGGACAAGGACCGACTGCAGAGCCGCCAGAGCTCCGTTGGCGGCTGCGGCATGGAGCGGCGTCGCGCCGTATCGCTTACCGCGCGCCGCGATCGAGGCGCCTGCTCGCAGCAGCCGGTGGACCATGGCGTGTGAGCCCGAAGCCATGGCGTAGTGCAGCGGCGTGAGGCCACCGATCGTTGTCGCCTCCACCTCAGCACCGGCGGCAAGTAGCAGCTCGGCAATCCTCAGATGCGCCATACTCCCACGCTGCGCTGCAATGTGCAGCGCACTCCGCTGCGCCTTGTCTTCGAGCCGTCCACTCGCCAGCGCCGGATATGTCTTGAGCAGCAGCGCGACGACGGCTTCGTTGCCTTTGAGTACTGCCAACAGCAGCGGCGTGTGCGCCGTCGCCTTGGGTGACTTGGTCTCTGGCGACGCGCCGTACTGCAGCAGCAGTCGTACAATGTCCACGTTGCCGCCCTCGGTCGCAATCATCAGCGGCGTCTCGTCTTCGTGCTTGGGCGACCGCCCGTTCACCTGTACGCCTTGCTCAAGCACCTGCTTGACGCCAGTCGGGTCATCGTTGAGAATGGCTGCGATGAGCGAGTCGCGCAGGATGCGGATGGCCCGCACCACCGGATCTTCTGCCGGCTCCGGCGGTGTGGCCGGACTCGGTGCGGTGGGAGTCGGCGTGGCAGGAACCGGCGTGCCAGGTGTCGGCTGCTTAGTCTTCGGCGTAGCCGTAGCTTCCGTTCCAGCCGTAGATGCAGCGGCGGGCGCAGGGGCGGGTGCAGGTGCCGGTGGTGTGTACGTTGCAGCAGTGAGGCGTGCGGCTTCGGCATCCAGGTCGAGGTTGTCGCCGCCAAACAGCTTTGTGTAGTTCTGCTCAAACACCTTGCTCTGCTCAATGCGTGGGTCGACGTGAGCCTGTTCTTGGGGGCGGGCGCCGGTGCCGGCCTGTATGAGGTGGGCGTGCGCCATACGGTCGGTAACCTCGTCGAGCGAGGCTACAGCTTCGGTGTAGGTGACTGTGTTGACGAGCACTTCGCCGGCAGGCCCAGTTCCTGCTGCTGCTTCGACAGCAGGAGCAGAAGCAGAAGCAGGCTTGGGCGCCAGGCCGGGCTCGGAGCAAGACGCCGATCCAGAATCTGATGAAGAGGTCTCTTGCAGCTTGCCCTTCTTCTTCTTCTTGTCCTTCTTCTTGTCCTTCTTCTTCTTGGCCTTGTCCTTTTTGGCTTTGGCCTTGGCCTTGGCCTTGGCTTTGGCTTTGGCCTTAGCCTTGGCCTTGGCCTTGGCATTTGAGGATGCGCCTGAGCTGCTGTCGGCGCTCGACGAGTCGGGAGCGCCGGCGATGAGCGCGTCGCTGCCAGCGGCGTCCAGAGAGTCTGCGCCAGCAGCGGTGTCAGCCACGTTGGCGGAGGCGTCGTGCTCGTCGCCCTCAAAGACGATGTTGAAGCGGGCGGACGAGTCGCGACCACGGTGCTTGCGGCCACGGCGGTGCCTGCGAGAGGCGTCTGTGGCCGGAGCACCGCCGCGGTCGCGGACGCGCTTGGAGCCCGACTGGCCGCGCTTGGCCTTTTCGACGCCGGTGGTGAGGCGGACCGGGAGCGGAGTGCCTGTGCCCAGGGCGCCGATGAGCTTGCCATGGTAGCCCATGATCTTGCGGATGTCCTTGATCGAGAGCACGTCGGCGCCCATGGCCTTGAGCTTTGCCTCGGTGAGCTGCATCAGTGCAAGCCCGTCGAGGCCGTGCGAGCGGAAAAAAGCGACGTACTTGGAGAGGCCCGCAGCACGCATCCAGGCGGCAGTCTCATCGACAGACCAGGCGCCAACCTCCTCAGGCTCGAGAACCACGCCCTCACCCGGTGCGGCCTTGGCGCCGACTGACGGGTCGACAAGACCCATGGCCTTGCCCAGCGCCAGCACCCAGGCGTCGCGATCGGCCTCGGACGGTGCTGAGAAGACGAGCGCACCGTCCGAACCGTCGCCCTTGGCCAGCCGCAGCGCATATGGCGCGCCCTTCATCGAGCCGCCGGCCACCGAGGCGTAGAGCGCAAGCTTGAGCGCCTTGGGCGGTGGAGCGTCCAGGTCGCTCCCAGGCATGGCCGCGTGCTCGTACATCACACCCGCGCCCGGATCGAGCGTGTAGTAGCGGCTCTTCCACTTTCGCCGCATTCCCGACTGTCGCGCCAGCTCGCCCGAGCCGACGGCGTCTGAGCCCATCACAAGCGTATCGCAGTTGTGGCGAGGGTCAACCCACGTCCGACCGACCATGCATAGCCGTCCGACCATACCGGGTGTGTATGCCCGACCAGCCAGCCAGTCGCCCACACAGCCAGTCGCCCACACAGCCAGTCGCCAGCCAGTCAGCCAGCCAGCCACACAGTCAGCCAGCCAGCCAGCCAGCACCGAGGTCACGCACGCCGACCACCAACAAGCACATGCGCAAGAGTGAGTGACACCCACACCCGACCCCGAGCTACCCACACATACACACACACACACACACACACAAGACATGACAGATGGTGAAGGAGAGAAAGGGGGGGGGGGGGGGGGGCGTACCTCCGTACTGCATGGTCAACAGAGAACCCGAGGGGGGTGAGAGACGAGTATGGTGCCACAGCTAGAGCGAGTAGCCGACACGGGCACACGACCGACGACCGACAACCGACGACCGACGGATCCGCGACTACTGCTGGCACTGGTCGACGCTATTCGCTGTCCACCACTCTATCGCTACCTTTTGCTGTAACGTTACATTGCGATGCATCCATCCTGTCTGCGTGTGGAATGATGGTGGGAGGCTAGGTCTCGTGCTGCTGCACGCCATGGATCCAACGCGGGAAGAGATGCCGTGAGGAGGACTGTGGGAGGGTAGCCGGTCGCTCGAGTTGGGCCCGGAGTGTGGCAATGTCTTCGGCGGCGAGCTTCTCGATGACGTGGCCAAAGGCTTGGGCAAGATTGAGCATGGTGTCAAGGTTGACGTTGTCGAGGGTATCACACGACTTGTGGTAGCAGGTATCGGCTTGGACGCCGACCGATGACCCGAACTGGGCGCGCAGCTCGTCATCGATGATCTCGTCCGATCCGGTGTCGCCGCCGCCGGCTGGGATGCCGCGCTCGAGGAACGGGCCGTAGTCGGAGCGGCCGGTGAACGGCGAGAGGTGGTATGCGAGGCGACGCGAGTCAAAGAACTCGACGAACTGGGCCTGGATGTAGCTCGACGGCCGGCCCGTCTCCTGGTTGTCGGCCGACGCTGCGTCGTAGACGCCGAGGAACCCGTTGAGCGAGCCGGCCATGTCGCAGTTGGCGTTGAACGAGATGCGCGCGGCGTCAGCGTCCGAGAGCGATTCCACGTACGCCCTCGAGCCTCGAAGACCGAGCTCCTCGCCGCCCCACCATGCGAAGCGGATCTTAGACTGCGCACCCGACGCCGGCGGCCCGCGCCGTGATACCGCCCGCGCCAGCTCGAGGTTGAGCGAGGTGCCCGAGCCGTTGTCGTTGATGCCGGGCCCAGCCTCGACCGAGTCGAGATGCGAGCCAACGACAATAATCGATTCGTCGGAGCCCCACACCGTGTCGGCCATCACGTTAGCGGTGTATATTGTGACCGGCTCCATGGCAATCGAGAGATCCATGCTCAGCGCGTCTGGCGACGACTCGGTCAAGGCCGCAATCATCTCGCCGGGTGCGTTGGCAATGGCGACGACAGGTACGCCGACCGGCCCGCCAAGCGTCCCGCCAAACACGCCCATCCGCCCAGCACTGTCGCCTTGGTTGTACACCACCACCGCGGCCGCGCCGTTGGCCTTGGCAGCCTCGGCCTTGTTACGGAACGCACATTCGCCGCGCCGCACCAGCGCCACCACATCACGCCCGCCCGCGCTGTCAGACATGCCTGTGTACGCGTCCGCAGTGCAGCCAAAGCCATCGCCTGGCACTGCCCACACCTTGCCGTCGACAATCTGTCCATTGGCCGAGTACGTCATGACCGAGTACTCCTCGGACTCGGCAAAGGTGAGGATGTCCTTGCCCGACGCGTGCGCCCACAGCGCCATCCGGCCTGGTCCGGACTTTCGGTACGAGTCAATGGTGAACGGCTGGACAACAACGTTGTTGAGGCCAGGCAGCTGCTCCAGCTCCGACTTGATCCAGGTGAGCGAGGCGTTGTACCCGGCCGTGCCTGCCGCCCGATTCCCGCCGTTTGCCACCGCAATGTCCATCAGCTTGCGCAAGCTGCTCTCCAGCGCACTCGCTCTCATTTCGCCCGCCCATCCATCCAATGGCGGCAGCGATGACGAGGAGCCCTGTGCCGGCGTGCTTGTGGCCGGCGAGCGCCTGCAGGTAGAGAGGGCAAAGACTAGGGCAAGGACAAGGACAGCAACAACGAGGACGAGAACGCAGAGCGAGACGCGATACACCAGATGTCGCCGCAAGAACCGCGCCATGCCCGGCGGTGTGTGTCCGGTCTTAAAGGTCGACACGCCCGTGAGGAGCCCAGCATCCGCCGCATTGCCATCACCAGCTCCTCCTTCTCCTCCTGGCAGACCTGAGCCAACACGCCGTCGCCTGTGTCGCCGAGCCCTACCGACTCCGCCATGAGCCTCCTCTCCCGAACCGACTGACCCACCCATGCTCCCCATACTGCCCTCGTCAGAACTCATGTACTCTCTCTGCTCTTCGTCGTATGACATGCTGCAGCAGAGTCAGCGTCACGTGTCCGTCGTCGACGAACGGTTGTCCGCCAATCGATTTGGCCCATGCCTTCAATTCAATGGTCCAGGCAATGTTCAAACGTTGTTCGGGGGGAAGGGGGGGGGGGGGGGGGGTGAAGGACGACCGAGAGATCTCATGAAGGCCGATTTGACGCAAACTTACTCATGATACTCTCATCCTGCCCAGAATGCGCCTGGATTGGGGGCTTGTTGCTTGGGATCGGTAGAAGAGAGCGATGAAAAAGCTCGAAAAACCAATGATCACATGTCGCACAAGATTTACTCAAGCTCTTGATCTCGACGACGTCACAACAACAACATCACCCCAAGTCCAAGCGCTTCACGCGTATGACGAGGCTCACGAATATGTTTGCGCCCAGTCGGGCCCAGAAAGTCCCTTCCTACGGTCGGGGGGCTTTGTTCGACGTTCGGCTGGCTGTGGACTCTCTACTCCACACCATTAAACATACACACAACAACAACAACGTCACGCTACTCGTGATCGCCGACCTGCATACGCCCCACGATCATTTTCCCCACTGCTCAATCGCATATCCCCCCCCCCCCCAATCGCCACAAAGTTGACCTTGATCCACGCCAAGAGCAAGGAGTTGCGGTCGTATGGGCGAGTGCTCGGATCAAAGCCACAGACCACCACCACCACCACCACCACAACCAACTCAACATGTTCAAGTTCATCGAGATGACCAGCACCGCTCACAATACGAGCTACTACACCCATTAGAACACTTGCGCAGTAATGATCTCCCCCCCCCCCTCCCCCTCCCCCTGAGTCCGAGTCGAGCTGCGGCTGGCGGGGCGGAGCGGGCGAAATGCAGCAGGGACAGCGGGCGGTGCGGGGCACCTGACTCGCACCTTTAGCACAGGGGCGTGCGGGAGGGATAGGGAGGAACATGCTCCGAGCATGTGGCCAGAGAACACTACAGAGAGTGGCACACCATGTTGGGAGGATGACGACCGAGACATGGATGAGAGGAGGACAGAGTCGCGGGATTCGCTCAGGTGGAGCGGCGAAGAGGCAACAAGTGCGGGCACTTGCGCGAGCTTTTCTTTTTTCAACCAACACGAGAGATCACGGCAATCAACAGAGTTCATCCTCTCGCTCTCGTCGGCGCTCTGATCTGGGGCTATATGACAACTGCGCGCAGTGTGGACCACATGCCTCATCGTCTCGAATGATGCTACATGCGACGGCTGTACAGAGCGGTGGCGACGATGACGAGAAGCGACGCGATGGTGGTGGCGGCGGCGGCCACGGTGGCATGACGGCACAGGAGCGAGAGGATGCCGAGGCGGCGGCGGCCGAGGCAGAGGATGAGGCCGACAAGGCTGCGTATCGGGCCGAGGTGCTGGATCCTCCGACGAACGCAGGCTTTCTGCACATCTCGCGCTCGCTGGCGCCCAAGGAGTTTGCGCGATGGAAGGCAGTCGTGCCGCTCTCTGTGGCGCAGGCCTGCATCGGCTCTGTCTATGCGTGGTCGATCTTTAACGAGCCGCTGACGCGAGTGATGGGCGGGGTGGCGTCTGCCGCGTCAGACTGGGACCTCTCCGAGGTGATTCCCATCTTTTCGGCGTCGGCAATCTCGCTTGGGCTGACCACCTTTGTGCTCGGGGCGTGGGTTGACCGCGTTGGGCCTCGCAAGGTGGTTGCGACGGCGGCGAGCCTCTGGGGCTCGGGCTTGCTGCTCTCGGCCGCCGGCGTGGCGACGCACACGCTTCCGCTAGTCTACGCCGGCTATGGCGTGCTCGGTGGGGCCGGGTGGGGCCTGGGCTACATCGCGCCGGTCCACGCGCTCATGAAGTGGTTCCCGGAGCGGCGCGGGCTAGCGACCGGCCTTGCGCTGACCACCTTTGGCGGCGGAGCCATCATTGCGTCGCCGCTCAACGAGGTGCTCCTCGAAGCCTTCTTTACGCTCCCCACGTACCTGGGCGCGTTCGACACTGTCGAGACGGTGGTGGCGTCGGGCGTGCGGATGGCCGACGTGGGTGGCGCGCTGCAGGAGGTGGTGGTTGCGTCGGAGCACGACGTGGCGGCGCTGCCGGGCGCACCGCTTCCAGGTGTGTATCAGGTCGGGACCGGCTCGTCGGGTGTGGCCGAGACGTTTGCGGTTCTCGGCGTGGGGCAGCTGGCGGTCATGCTCTCGGGCGCGCTCATGGCGCGTGTTCCGCACCCTGACTGGAAGCCGCCGCGACTGAGCAAGCGGGCACGGGCGGCGGCGGCGGCGGCCGAGGCCGACGATGACGACGACGCGTCGAGCGTGGTACAGCCTTCGATTGACGCCGACAAGGCGCTCCGCACACCGCAGTTCTACCTGTTCTGGACAGCAGTGTTTGGCAACGCTGTGGCGGGCGTCTCGGTCATCTCGTCGGCCAAGACGGTGATGACCGACTGCTTCTCGACTGCACTGCCGAGCGTGGTCCACGGCGGGTTTGCGGCGACGTATGTGGCGGCGCTATCGGCAGGCAACATGGCCGGGCGACTGGGATGGGCGACAGCGTCGGACGGGCTTGGCCGCAAGGCGACGTACGCGTTGTTTGGCGTGGGCATCCCGATGACGGTCGCCATTCCGCACCTCACTTCGTGGGCCATGACCGAGCACACGCTGGCGCCTCTGGCTCTCTTCTACGCCTCGACAGTGCTGATTGTCTCGTTCTACGGTGGCGTGTTCTCAGTCCTTCCTGCGTACCTCTCCGAGGTCTTTGGCCCGCGAAACACTGGCGCCATCCACGGACGCATGATCACGGCGTGGGCGTCGGCGGCAGTGGCCGGCCCGGCGATCCTCTCGCACCTGCGCTCATCGGCGTACGACCGTGCAGTCACCGATCTCACCGCCCAGGCCGATCCGGCCACGTTTGAGGCTGCATTCGGCGCGCCCAAGTCTGCGCTCCCGGAGCTCATCGATGCCAAGACCGTGACCGTCTCCAAGCTCCTGGACATTCTTCCAGAATCCACGCCCGATCCAACGCCTGCGCTGTACAACGATACCTTTTACGTCATGGGCGGCTTTATGACCGTCGCTTTCCTCTGCAACGCCCTCATCCATGCCGTCCGCAAGCCACGCCGTCGCCGCCGCCGTCCCGCCTCACAAGGCCGTACTTGACGCCCCCTTCTCGATCTCCAAGCCTATGACCATGAACAACTCCTACCCCAGCATCATTCCGTTCCATTAACAAGACTGTACCCCTCCTCCTGCGCACGTTTGCGCATCGCGCCGCTGTCCTCTTCCATCATTGCGACTCGAGCCGGAGCGCCAGCGCCCGCCAGCGCCAGCGCCAGCGCCAGCACCACCGCACTCGACCATGCTTCGCCAGCTCATCCGCCACGCGCAGCGCAAGGCGGTAGACGCAGTCCTCGGCCGTACGACACATACCATCCTACCCCCCCCCTCCTAGACCCCCCCCCATCCTCTTTAACCATACCCATACCCATACCCATACCCACCACCATGCCCATGACCTGCTGCCTGCTGCCCCCCCCCCCTCCTCTCTCCCCATCCCCCCCTACCACTGCCACTACCCCTGGCCTACGTCTACCCCAACACTATACCCATACCCATACCCATACTCATACTCATACCCATGGCCATACCTATACCCTCCCCCTTGTGTACACATACAGCTGACCGTAATGGCAAGTCGTCTGCGGCCAAGTTCTTCTTCGACCCAAGAGTGTGCAAGTGGCACCTCTTGGGACTCTGTCCCCATGATGCGCTGCGGAATACGGTACGGAGAGGGAGAGAGGGGAGGGGGGGGGGGGGGGGAGGGGGAGGGGGGGGGGTATCGATTATCGTTCGATTATTGTGGATTGTCTTTGATCTTGGTGGAGAGTGAGGAGAGAGGGAGACGGGGAAGGTCATCGATCGTGTCCATGGGGGCATCGATGATCGTGACTATGGATGCATTCATCGTCATCATGGAGGCATCGATCGTGTCCATGGGGCATCCATCGTCACCATGGGGCATCCATCGTCACCATGGGGCATCCATCGTCCCCATGGGGCATACATCGTCACAGAGTCATCATCGGCTACTGATGTCTCTCCCCCTCCCCCCCTTCCCTACCATCAGCCACTATCGCAGATATCAACACACTCACTCACTCCACTCCATCCCACCCAGAAACGCGATCTCGGCGAGTGCCCCAAAACCCACTCGGATGTGCTCAAGCGCGAATATGAAAAGTCTGTGGCAAACGGCGAGCGATGGGGCTACGAGTTTGAGCACATGCGGCTGCTGCGATCGCTGGTCCGCCAGTGCGACGGACGCATCCACGCCGCCAAGGAGCGCATGACCCAGGAGGAGGCTGCCGCTGTAGTTGACGTCCCGGTCCACCCGGAGGCCGCCAAGCTTCACACCGAAATCAGCGAGATGGTGGCCAAGGCGGCGCAGCTCGGCTCCGAGGGCAAGGTCACTGAGTCGCGGGCCGTCCTCAGTGCCATCAACGAGAAGAAGAACGAGTTGGCCATTCTGGAGACGCTTGCCGAGAAGGAAGCGCTCGTCTCGCGTCCGACCGGCGCCGGCATGGTCTTCCATCGCCAGCAGCTGCGGGTGTGCGAGGTGTGCGCGGGTCTGCTCTCGCTCACCGACTCGGACGTCCGCCTCGCCGCTCACTTTAAGGGCCGCATGCACTTTTCGCTCCTCACCATGCGCGAAATGCTCAAAGACTACGAGGCCAACCCGCCGCCCGTCGTCTACGAGCGCGACTACGATGCCGACGGCCAGCGCCGCGTCAACGAGGCTCTCGGCATCACTCGCGCCGACCGCTCCGATCTCGACGAGTTTGGCCGCGACATTGTGCGCAAGTCGTGGGCCGGCGCCCACGCCCGCCACAACCCCGCTCTCCTGCCTCCCTCTGCTAAGCGGGAGCGGAGCCCGGGCGCCGAGCCGAGCTCGGCACAACCCGCCGAGCACCCCGCCAAGCGCACAAAGACCCTCGACGGCTCGCCCAAAGCCAGTGATGCGCCCAAGAGTGGCAAGGCCAAGTCGCGGTCCAAGGCCAAGTCCAAGGCCAAGTCCAAGGGCAGGTCCAAGGCCAAGTCCAAGGGCAGGTCCAAGGCCAAGTCGCGGTCCGACAAGGGCAAGGGCTCGTACTCGTACTACTCGCCATCGTACTCGTACTCGTACTCGTACTCTGAGTACTACTCGTACTCGGATGATCCCCCACGCGGTGCCGCCCGCCTCGGCCGCCGCCGCCCTTCGGCGTCGTCGTCCGCCCGCTCCTCGCGCGGCCGGTCGTCGTCGTCGCGCGCCGCCGGCTCGTCCGCCCGCTCCCGCCGCCCGTCGTCGCGTCGTCGTTAAAGCCATGGTCCTCGCCGCCGGCCTCATTTACCTGCTTCGACTGCCACTTGTCGCCGTTCCGGTGCTCTCGTCCCAACTCGAGCTGGTCTCGCTCCCGCTCCTGCTCCGAGAGCCCACCTCATTCACCTCGTCGCCGCCGTCGGCAGCGCGGATCTCGTCCCGGACGCGCGGATACACCGAGTACGCCACAAAGTAGAGTACAAACTGCAGCGACCAGCACGAGAGAAAGACCACCAAGCAGGCCTTGGAGAGCGCGTCGCGGTTGTGGATCTTGTCCTCGCGCGGCACGTCGTCGAGCTCGCCGGTCCGCTCGCGGTAGCCAAACCAGCCCTCAGCAATGGCGCCCACAAGAAGCGAGCCCGTCGACGAGACCGTGCCCTGCACTAGACCCTGCAGCGCGTACGCCAGCCCGCGCAGCGCCTTGGGAACGACCTCGGCCGAGTTGGGCAAGTCCGACGCAAAGGCCGGGATCGAGAGCAGCAGGCCAATGAAGAACATGACAAGCGCAATGAGCGCGTACGAGGTCTTTGGCACCACCACCAGGAGAACCACAAGAAGACCCATGTTACACAGCACGGCAAGCTGTGCCACCATCAGCCGCCCGCGGTTGGGCAGCCGCCGCGAGACCACATCGCCCACCCACCCGCCCACCCCGGAGCCCACAATGCTCCCAATCGCCGCAAGCGTGTACGCCACTCCCGCCCCGAGCTCCGACAGGCCCGAGTACTGGAACCAGAGGACCATGAACGAGAGCGCAGAGACAGGCAGCGCCTGCGCCGTCAGCAGTGCCATGAACAGATTGAAGCCTCGGTTGCGAAGAATCGGAATCGAGTTGGCCACAAGGTCCGCCAGTCCGGCACGCACCCCGCCTTTGCCCGTCCTGCCTGCGCCTGCGGCCTCGCCCTCGCCCTCCTCGCCCTCCTCAGCCTGCTCCTCCTCGCTGGCAGAGAGGCGAGCTTCGATGCCGGCAGCCGAGGGCACCACGCTCGCGTACTCTGGTGCCACTGCGTACGCCAGCGCGTCCGAGAACTCCTTGCTCCCGCGCGGCGGATCCTGCGCGAGCCAGCGGACAATCAGCACCGTCGGGATTTGCAAGAGGCCGAGGAGCAGGTGCGCGAGACGCCAGCCGTCGACGCCACCGACCGGGTTCTGGAACGCAGTAGCAACGGCAACGCCGAGGACGGCGGCGCAGATGATAGCGATGCCGAGACTGCCCATGGCCTTGCCTCGCTCGTCTGGAATGTACAAGTCTGGCACGAGCGAGAGAGCCACCGACTTGAGCGCAGACCAGCCGATGGCTGCCGAGGCATAGACGATGAGAAACATGGCGTAGTTTGCCGATGCGGCGAGGATCATGGTCGGCAGAGCGCCTCCGAGTGAAGCCCAGATCCACAAGCGAATTCTTGGACTTTCATCTGCTGCCCAACCCCAGACGACGCCGGCAACAGCGTTGACCATCCGATTACACATGACAATGAGTCCCAACTTTGTCGGCCCTGCATTCAGATCCGTTTCGAGGACCACAAAGAAGAACGATAACAACGATGAGGTGGCGTAGGTGGTGAGCATGGAGATGGCAATGGCCATCATGGTCCGTCCTGCCGCCTTCATCCTCCTTCCACTCTCTCTACAAACACCGTCACAATCACAGTGTCTCTCCTACACAACGTCTCACACACCCGTTATGACAAGTGGTGCTTCAGCACAACCCCCCCCACAATCCTATCCCCATCCCCTCCCTCTCCTCCCCCCCCCCTTCACGCTCACGTCACCCCCATGTCTGATCGATCACCCCCCACCCCCCACCCCCCTCCGATCGCACACACACACACACACACACACACACACACACAAACACACACACACACAAACACACACACACGCGCACGCACACTCCCCTCCCCCCCCCCCCCCCTCCCCCCTCCCCCCATCAAATCCTTATCCTTTCCCTTATCGTTTTCTGT